GCCCCGACTCATAGCGACCCCTCCTTGGGTTTCCGAGGCAGTATCACCATGGAAGTAGGATTGCCCAACCTTCCTTCTGAGGAGTGGCTGGTGGGTTTGAACCGCCAGCCTTCTGGTTAGCAGTCAAGTGCTTTACCCACTATGCTACCAGAGCTCCTATAGAAAATATAGCCATGGCCAAATATAGTACCTGTCTTAGATAGCTAGTGCTGCTACAACAGAAATACCACAAGTGGGTGGCTTTCACAAACAGAAATTTATTTTCTTATGGTTTAGGAGGCTAGAAGTCTGAATTTAGAGTGCCACCTCTAGAGGAAGACTTCTCTTTCACCTGATTTTGGAGGGTCCTTGTCTCTTTGCTCCTACACAGTCTATATGTGGCCTGACATCTCTCTTCCCCCACTTCTGCCCTGTTTGCTTGTTGAATGTCTTTGAATTGATGCATTTGAATTATGATTTTGGTGAAGAATATTTTGATGAAGAATGTAGTATGAACTGCCAGAAGAATGAACAAATCTGTCTTGAGTAAAGTAGCTCAAGAATGCTTCTTATAGGCAAGGATAGTGAGACTTCACCTCTTATACTTTGGTTATGTTGTCAGAAGGGACCAGTCTCTGGAGAAGGACATCATGCTTGGTAAGGTAGAGGGTCAGTGAAAAAGGGGAAGACCCTCAACAAGGTGGATTGACACAGTGGCTGCAATGATTGGCTCAAGTATAGCCAGGATTGTGAGGATGGCACAGGAGTGGGCAATTTTGTTCTGTCATGCTTGAGATTTCTATGAGTCAGAAGTGACTCAGCAGCACCTAACAACAATCACCACACACCTCAAAAAGAGACTGATTCAAGATACACCCTACACTAACTCTGCCTCATTAACATAATGCCATCCATTCCCAAATGGAATTATAACCAGAGTTATAGAGTTTAGGATTTAAAACACACATTTTTAAGGGACATAGTTCAACCCATAATTGCTGTTTATGTTGCTAGGTGCCCATGGAGTAAGCTCTGACTCAGTAGCAACCCTGTGTACAGCAGAGTGAAACACCGCCTGGCCCTACACCATCCTCACACTCCTGGCTATGCTTGAGCCCCTCATTGCAGCCACTGTATCCGTCCACCTCGTTGAGGGTCTTCCCCTTTTTTGCTGACCCTCTGCCTTACCAAGCATGATATCCTTCTCCAGGGGCTGGTCCCTTCTGCCAATATTACCAAACTCTGAAAGACGAAGTCTCACCACCACTCAGCTACCAGGTCGTCGTGCTGTGGAGGCTTGTGTGTTGCTATGGGGGTGGAAGCTGTGCCAATGCTGTTTGAAATTCCAACAGGGCCACTGTGTGGACAGGTTTCAGCAGATCTTCTGACTAAGACAGACTGGGAAGAAGGCCAGGGCCATCCACTTCTGGAAAAATTGGCCACAGTAAACCTCAAGAATAGCAGTAAAACATTGTCAGATACATTACTGGGATATGATTTTAGTCTTCCTCAATTAGTAAAGCTCTCAAAATGAAATTCAGTCCTCTGGGATTGGCAAAAAACCTCAGGGAAAAAGTAATTTTGGTGCTTTTCTTGTTTCTCAGGGTTCTTGTTTGTTTCTTTATATGCTCTCTTCAATATGTCTTGCTGATTTTTTTTTTTTTTTAATCATGTCAGTTCATCAGGGTTTTCAAGAAGTGTGTGTGTGTGTGTGTGTGTGTGTGTGTATAATCTGTCACTTTTGATTGTTTTCAGTAGGGGGTTGCTAGATCAAATAACAAATCCAGTATTAGCATCTAAATTAATGCATAAATTGTAAAATTGTTAAGTATGTTTGTATATTTTGTTAAAATGTAATTTGATCTTTTAAAAATTAATATTTATTGAAAAATAGCTTTAAATTTTCTTGAAATTATTTAGCTTGATAACTATCAAAGATTATGCTTTCTCTGATTGGACAGAATATAAAAACTTTTTTTTTAACCCTTCAGAGTCGTTTGGATGTGTACATGTCACAAAACCCAGCAGGAACCTCTGTTCAAAATATGCTACACTGGAGTCAGGTATTATTTTTTAAGTGTATTTCAATACAATTCCATTTATACTAATCTTGTTTTACCTCATCATTTTAGGGATCATGCTGTTAAGGTGTTCTTGTTGATTCTGACTCATAGCACCCGATAAACAGAATTTAAGTAACTATAGGGTTTCCTAGGCTTTAATCTTTATAGGAACAGATCTTTTGTCCTATGGAGCCACTGGTGGGTTTGAACTCCCAACCTTTCAGTTAAACCTTGTGCTTAACCATTACACCAAAAACAAAACCAAACTCATTGCCGTAGAGTCAGATCCAACTCATAGCAAACCCTCCTTGGATTTCCGAGGTGGTATCATGACAGAAGTAGATTGCCCAATCTTCCTTCCAAGGAATATCTGGTGGGTTTGAACTAGTAGCCTTCTGGTTAGCAGTCAAATTCCTTAGGCACTATGCCACCAGAGCTCTAATAGGGCTCTTTTGCACTGCTATAGCATGATATATTTCTAAAAATAAAATGAAATTATTACATATTTATGTAATCCTTTGTAGTTTATAAAATGTATTGGCAACATAATCCATTAGATCCTGTAACTAAATCTTAGCAATGATCAGGACAAAAGAATTATCTCTATATCACAAATGAGAAAATGTGAATTCACAACAGTATGGTAGGAATTATCTGTGCTATTTGACATACCCAAAGCTATTCAAAACTATTCCTTTAAAAAATTTTAACCAAAACTGGCACATGAATGTTTGTAGCAGTTTTATTCATAATCCCCCCAAATTAAAAGCAAGCAAGATGTCTTTCAATAGGTGAGTGAATAAACAAACTGTGATACATCTATAAAATAGAGTATTTACTCAGTGATAAAAAGAAATGAGGTATCAAGCTATGAAAAGACATGGAGGAACCTTAAGTGCATACTGGTAAGTGAACCATCACTCATCTTGCTGTTTGTCACACTATGGTGGATTGCGTGTTGCTGTGATGCTGTAAGCATTGGTATTTCTAATACCAGCAAGATCCCCCACGATAGACATTTCAACAGAGTTTCCAAACTAAGATAGACTAGGAAAAAGACCCACTGATCTGCTTCTGAAAATTAGCCAATGTAAGATTATCATTAACAACAGTGTACTGTCTGATATAATGCTGGAAGATGAGCCTCTAAGGTTGGAAGGCATTCAAAATACCACTGGGAAAGAGCTACCTCTTCAGAGTAGAACCAAAACTAAAACCAAACTCACTGCCATTGAGTTGGATCCAACTCATAGTGACCCCTCCTTGGGTTTCTGAGGCAGTATCACTAAGGAAGTAGATTGACCAACCTTCCTTCTGAGGAGTGGTTGGTGGGTTTGAACTGCCAGCCTTCTGGATAGCAATCAAATGCCTTAGGCATTATGCTACCAGAGTCAACCTTAATAATGTGGATGAAGTAAAGCCTTCTGCACTGTCATTTGCTGCGTGGAATGGCTCAAAATGAGTGACAACAGCTATAAAACATCCATTAATAATTAGAAAGTGAAATGCATGAAGTATTAATTAAGGAAAATCCAAAGCTGTCAAGAAGGAAATGGAGCTTTTTGGGCCTTCCAGGAATGATGAGGACAATTGTGCGCTGTACAGGATGTGTCACATTCCTGGGGACAAAGGAAGCCTCCTGCCAGCACATTACAAAGAAAAGTCTGGGAAAGGAGACTGCTTATAGCAAGAAACAAAAGAATGTCTTCCATGTGTGGTTAGAACATAACTCTTACCCTAATAAAGCTACTAAGAAACTATTGGCCAAAGAAATTAGAGTTGCAGAGTATAAAATTCAGTGTTGCCTTAAAACCACAGACAGAAACAGAGACAACTGAGGTCTGGATGCTCTTCAGGAAAATATGAAACTCGGAGTCAGAGCCTGCCTCAGCCTTGGACTCAAGAATGCTTTCCAGAAGAAGCCAGATCAGAGCAGACATTCATCAGGAAGTCCCAGCAAGTCTTCTGCTTCAAGCCTTTCAGAGGAACCAGTTCCCTGGTCTTGCTGCCATGGAGCAACTGGCTAATCAAACAGGCATGCCAAAATCAAGAAGTTAGCTGTGGTTTCAAAACCAAAGGGCTCAGCACCCAGGGCAGAACAGAAGGGAGCCCATGGGTTCCTTGAGAGAAGGCCCAAATGGGAGGCCAGATGTGACTGCTGAGCCACAGCAAACGGACCTGTCCACACTACCAGGCATGTCTCATCCTTTTCCTCCCTCCAATTCTTTCAGCAGGAACTAAACGTTTCTACCTGCTCTTCTGGTATCCCGGATGTTTATTCTTTGTGATCCAGTTGGGGTCTGTGTCACCAGGTTTCAACTATCCTGACTATGCAGCCCACCTAGGCTATACAGGGAACAGAGGACTCTGACTCCCCTGCAGCATTTATAAACCAGTTGCCAGTATGTCTGACTCCAGGAGGGGCCATCTCAAATACTCTGATGCTGTTCTGGCCCCAATCCCAAGAAAAATGCCAGGATCTCAAAGACCACACTGGTCTATATAAAGAAAAATGTGGCATTAGGATTGGAGCAAGACTCATTAGTAACCCTAGATATGCTGATAACACAATCTTGCTTGCCAAAACTGAAGAGGACTTGAAGCATTTGCTGATAAAGATAAAAGACTATATCCTTCAATACAAATTATACCTGAACGGAAAGAAAACAAAAACTCTTACAATTGGACCAACATCCAGTTCCAGTGATACTTAGTATATAAGAGGAAAAAACTCTCGAAAGAACTACAGGGGAAGACATGTTCTCAGGGAAAACCAGAATGTCAATAGAGCAGAGAGTAAGGATATAAGGCTGATAGAATTCCAGATGGTAGAGATAGTTTGAGAAATTGGGAAGGGTTAGACAGGATGACAGAATAGAAGATGTATGGTGCCTTATAGGGATTAGAGTGCCAGAGAAAATGAGTAACATGGGAGTCTGGACCTTCTTGTGATGAAAACATGATCAAGGAAAAAATGGGCATAATCAGTTTAGATCTAGTAGACTCAAAGCAGATGGTGGTGGTGAAGCTGCAAGGATTAAGACATAAAGGAAGGACTGGCTTCTGGGACACGTTTTGATCCCTGTCATTGAAACAATGGTGTTTCAAGAGTCCTCCTAGTTCCAGTGAAGGCCATTCACTCTTGACTCCTGCTGATGAAGCTGAGGTTCTCTGGGGAGGCATGCTGTTACTCCAATCACACAGGCATCCTTTGGGTAAGAAACAGTCTTGGGGAGAAGAGCATTTATAGGAAGGTTATTTATCATATTCTTTAAATCCCTCCCACCTGCCTCCTCTTCTTCCCCCATTCAAAAGAAAGGAGGAGCAAAGAAGCCTAACTACATATACCAGCAGACTCAGTTTAAAGGGACATATATATATGCATTGCATATCTATTTTACATCAGCTGTCACTTTAATAATCTGATGAATATAGTCTTATTTCCTGTTTTTATTTCAGCTTTTTCATTCTAGTCAGCTGAGAGCTTTTGACTGGGGCAGTCCTGTTCTTAACTTTGTTCATTTTAATCAGGTAAATAATTACATATAAACTAGAAACTTTCTTCCTTCCTGATCAGTTAAAATTATTTTGCTAGAGATCAGGATTCACTTGCAAAGGCCTAGAGTTTAATAACACAGTTAGGAGAAACAGCAGATGACCATGTTGATTTGGATTGATGTTGTCACACCCAGCTAAAGTAGCCATTTGATTTTTTCTTTGTGTTTGAACAAAAAATATTCTGAAAAAGCCTAGAGAACTTGAAAAATTAGAGGATTACAAAAATTGGTCATCCTTGAGAGGAAAAACATGTTTATAATATGCATAGTACTGTGCTTGACAAAATAAGAAAGAAAAGGTATAATTCAGTTCTTGTCCCTAAAACCAATTATTCTATTTGGGAAGATAAAACATACACATACAATTATTAGGAAAAAAAAAATAGATGTTAGTGAGAATTGATATCTTGTATAAGTATGATGATGAAATTCTTAAAGCATTTAAACCCAAGTCTGTGTGACTTGAAGTTTATGCTTCACCATCATACTTTCTTGCCTCAGCTAAACACAATGCCTGATGTGGTCTGCTTATATAAAGGTCTAAAGTAAAATATGAACATCAAATTAAATTAGATCAGATCTGACCTTGACTGCCAATATTTATCATTTATTGGTAAATGTATTGACAGTAATATAGCCACAGGTAATATTGATTAAAATGCTTTATGCTTCACAAATAATACTGGAACTACCTTGGAGGAATGTTTGAATATTTTTGAATTAGGGAAAAAAAAAACTATCTATATTTGACTTGTGTATAATTTAAGTAAAAATTATAATACCCTCTCTCATATTCTATCTTAGTAATATTTTTATATTCAGCTTATTTAAAACATTATATTTAGTCATAATGTAACGAATTAGTAATTAGTACTTTCTAATATATCAATCTCTATGAATACTCTGATTTTTGCTCATTTGTCTTTAGACAAGTTCTCCATTGTATGACGTGACAAATATGAAAGTACCAACTGCTACTTGGAATGGTGAAAGGGACTTGTTGGCTGACCCCAAAGATGTTAAAATTTTACTTTCCGAAATCAGAAACCACATTTACCATAAAACCATTCCTTATTACAATCATATGGATTTTTTATTTGGATTAGATGTATATCATGAAGTTTACCATGAAATTGTTGACATTATTCAAGGCAATCTATAAAGCACCATGGTACTCTGTGTTGAAAGATCATAGCAGTCTATGATGAAAGATCTATATAATTCCTATTAAAATCTCATTTTTTTCTTACTATGTATGTTTTTGTACTTATTTAAGTAAAACCTATAATTCTTCCCCTATATTTTTTCTCATTGCCTCTAGGCCCTGTCCTCATTAAATTAGTGGTATTTACTATCTCAGGAGAAATAGCAGATTATAATTTAGTGCAAAGAAGTCTATTGAGTTTCTAAATGGAATTGAAATAATTTATAACAGAAACAACAATATTACACATTCTCAAATGCCAGAGATGGTTTTTGAGAAAAAAAATTCCTTTCAAAATATTACACGTTTACATTATATTATAAAAAGAATGTTGGAGTATATTGGAAGAATACTGGATGATATAAAAGCGAATTTTCCTCTGTGCAGAAAGGAGAGCTCACTTTCTATGCTATATAAAGGAATTTGGAGATAAAAGAAGAAAGAGAGCCTAGATGCCAATGTAATGTTGTTCTCTGCCTACTTCAGGCTAAGCTCAAGAAGCAGGACAATTATGGAAAAGAGGGAGAGGGTATGCCTCACTTCCCAGAATACAACTGGTGGAGTGAAGTCTGAACTTTTGTTTTCAGCCCAGTATACATTAAGAATAGCAATGGTTGGGTAACATTCCTAGGCAAATAGATCTGAGGGTGGCCTCACAAAATAGTATGAACTGCAGCATGGTACATAAAAGACCCAAACATTTCCTACATACTGGAGAGGTGTAAACATGCTCAGGAGAGCGATGGTAGGCAGAAACCAAAACCAAACCAAACTCACTGCTGTCCAGTCGAATCCGACTCACAGGGAGCCCTCTTTCGGTTTCTGAGGCTGTATCTCTACGGAAGTAGATTGCCCAATCTTCCTTCCATGGAGTGGCTGGCAGGTTTGTACTGCCAGCTTTCTGGGTAGCAGTCAAATGCCTTAGGTACTACAACACTAGAGCTCCTTGGTAGATGGAAAGAGGCCTAAAAATTAGGATGAAGGGATACTGTCAACAAATATGGCATGGATTATAGGAGCCATGACACTGGGCAGCAGCGGCAGATACAGGGCACACAGACCTTCTGTGAAACCTGTGCATTTATGCTTCTGGGGAGACCTACTTCCCTTTCTTCTAATTCCTGACTAATATGTAACCTCCCTGACTGTTGTGATCTCAGAAAAGTACTATGGGGAAGGGGGAAGTCTAGAATTGACTATTAATTTATTACACAAAAAGTACGATTTAAAAACAGCTATAATTTACTGAATTAGAACATTTTGGGCTTTCAACAAATTAGAGGTTGAAAGCCAAGTTGAGTAATGGAAAAAAATTATATACATAATTGTTAAATTTACACTTAGCACATGTTTATGGACTTGAAATTGTTATACAAGTAGAAATGGAATATGTATAGATAGCGAGAAAATTAAATGCACATATTATACATTTTTATGAAGGTGCATAAAGAGAAGGCAAATTATACATTAAAAATTATAGTAAAGGCTAAAGAATATCCTAGATTTCTTTGGTAATCTTTGGAATGAAGTAGTGGAGTGCTGGAAATATATACATATTTAGAGTCATCTTTCTTTCTTTTCTTTTTTTTTTATTGTGGTGAATATATATATAACACAACACTCATCAATTCAATATCCTTTACATGCGCAACTTGACGATTCCAATGACATTGATCTTGCTGTGCAACTGTTACTGGTATCCATTTCCAAGTTTCCTATCACCATAAACAGTTATGCCCGACAGGACCAAAGTGCCATTGAGTCGGATCCGACTCAGTGACCCCTCCTTGGGTTTCCGAGGTGGTATCACTGGAGGAGTAGATTGCCCAACCTTCCTTCCGAGGAGTGGCTGGTGGGTTTGAACCACCAGCCTTCTGGTTAGCAGTCAAATGCCTTAGGTACTAGACCACTAGAGCTCATAAACAGTTACTCAGTACTCTCTAAATAATGACTTCTCCTTTCCCCCTCATTCTACCCCTGGTAAACCAATAATAAAGTTTGATCTCTATGTATTTGCCAATTGCAGATATTTAATATAAGTATGATCATATAATATTTGTCCTTTAGTGATTGAGTTACCTCACTGACTTCACTCAGCATACATGAAAATATTATGCTAAGTGAAGGAGAGACATTTTTCTTAAAGAGTTCAAGAATGTTAATGTAGTTTAAGTGTTACTTTAAAGTATTCAAATGATTCCTCAAAACTAAATATAATAAGATAATAATTCAGAAGAATTACTCATGTTGAGGTTTAAAGAATGATTTGGAAATTTCTGGCAATGGTGAACTAGGTAATTTAGACCTGGAAAAGGGGAACAAAGCATCTATTTGGAGATAAGGGAGAGTAAACAATGCAGTGAACAATAACAGGGCCAAGAAAAAGAACCCAGAAAAGTGAGTCTGGCATTTTAGATGGTTATCCCTAGCAACATCTACTTACCCCAGAAGTAAAGCTAAAAGGCTAAAAAGTCAGTAGAATATGAAACTTGAAATTCAACTCACCAAGTGCTCTGGTAAACCACCATCCTCAAGCTTTGGGTTGGAACCTCAAAGTGCTATGAGTAAGATTGAACTGAAAATTGATCACTCCTTCACAAAGTGCAATCCAACTTTGAGTCATAAATTTCTAAAGTATTTAAGGTGACCTTGGAATACTAATGCCCTAGATCTCTGTCAAAAACAAAAATAAATCCTTTCTAAAGGAAGTTCAAATCATATGATACCAGCAGTAACAAACAATAAAACTTTACAATGTTGCAAGATAAATCATTATACAAAAATAAATTATATATTATATACTAGCATCAGAAAATTACAAAATGAAATTTAAAATACTATGTCATTTACAATAGTATGAAAGTTATAATAATAATAAAGATATGAGCAAAATATGTACATGAATTGGAAACCTCAATGTTATTAAAATACATACTCTCCCCAAATGTACCTATAGATTCAAAGCAATTACAATCAAAATTTCAGAAGGCTATTTTTTTATAAAAAATTGTTATAGTGATTCCAAAATTCATATAGAATTACAATTGATCTAAAATTGCCAAAATAGTTTAGAACAGGTCAGACGACTCTCACTACCTAATTGTAATACTTATTTAAAAAGATATGTTGATTAAAACAGTGTGGTATCAGTATGAAGAGAAATCTAGATTCCTGAAACAATATTGAGAATGTGGGAATAGATTATACATATGTGGTTGAATGATTTTTGACAAAATAACTGGGCAATTTAGTGGGCTAAAGATTGTCTTTTCAACGGATAGCATTATGGAAAAAGATGAACTTGGACTTCTTCATTATATATAAAATTTAATTTGAAATGAATCATAGACTTAAATCTGAAAACTAATACTGTGACATTCTAGGAAAAAATATTTCTAACTATGAGATAAGAAAAAATTTAGATAATACTAAAAAAAAGAAAAATTATAAATAATAGATTGAGCATCATAAAAATTTTCTGCTCATCAACTGGCACTATTTAGAAAATGGAAAACAAGCCACTGACTGTTGTTGTTGTTGTTGTTAAGTGCCATCGAGTCATCTCCAACTCATAGTGACCCCATGCACAGCAGAACGAAACACTACCTGATCCCGCGCCAGCCCCACAATCCCTGCTACACTTGAGCCCATCATCGTGGCCACCGTATCAATCCATCTCGTTGAAGGCCTCCCCCTCTTTCGCTGACCCTCCACCCTATCAAGCATGACATCCTTCTCCAGG